GTGGTTCTTGAGCTTTGTAGTGAATAATAGTGATGAACAATAGTGTAAAACAATTACTGGCATGAAGAATTGGTGATCAAACCTATATATAAACTAACTTTTGAAGTTGATTTTCAAAGCTGAATGGTTCTTGGAAAACTGGCACAAAAATCTGTACTTGGAAGAATGTGCAGCTGATTTTTCATCTTTTCTTTTTTTATATATCTCAACAAGCTTTGATCTCTATTAAGCTAAGCTCAGTAAACAGTAATAGGATACAAGTTAAGACTTAAAGAAAGGCAGACAATAGTCTACCCTGTAGCCAAGATAGTTGCATATTCCTCCCATTTGATTGACTGGAACAACACAATCTTCTTACCTATATTTGTACTTCATCAGACAAAGCTTTTAATATATATGAGACCTGACCATGAAGTAATAGCCATGCTGTAATGTCCTAAGTCCTTTGTATTACTACTCAATGCTCATGTGTAGTAGTTTTCCTCTTCCTAATCAGAATAATTATATAGCTTGAGTATTCCAGCTATGTTAATTGGTTAATCTACATATCACCACATCTCCATGTAATGAACAGGTTTTGTACCTCTTGTTTTTCTTGTGCTTCTTCTAATTATCATTTCGTTTTCAGAGTTTCTTTAACTCTCCTGGGATCTTAAAGTATTTCTTTCTCTGGGAGATCTTGATCTATCTTATTTTCTCTTGTTATTATGGCCATATTCAAGCATTGACAGGTCTTATCAGTTTCCCTCTTAATCATTGCTATGTTTGTCTTCAGATATTTCATCCTGCAAGGGTAGGTTTCCTTTTTGTCCAGCCCTATCATTACTTGAGGCATCTGTGTACTTTTCTTTGTCACTTTCCACTTTGTATTCATCTTGTGGTTTTATTTCATCTGCATGGGTTAGTATGTGGCTCCTATTTTTTCACAAGTCCTTCGTGTTACTACTAAATGCTCATGTATAGTAGTATTCCTCCTCCTAATTGTGGTAGTTATATAGCCTGGGTATTCTGGTTATGTTAATTGGATAATCTACATATCACCACCACTCAGAATATTAGTCTTGCAGACAATTTTTAAAGTAATAAGTTAAGTTTTCACTGGGTGTTCCATAAGCTAAACATAGTAAATACCAATACTGAATAGAAATAAATGACATACGAGTGAAGAAAATAATAAAAAGAAACAGATCCCACCTTCTTATTTTTACTGCTGTCCCTTCACTTTCACTCATATATATATATATATATATATATATATATATATATATATATATATATATATATAAGTCCTGGGTATGATAGTAAACTA